CCGCTAGGTATCACGCCCCGCCCACCTGCCTCCTTTCGGCACCGCGGGTCTAACCTGACTACCACGCTACCACCCCTTCTCAGTTGTGTCGGCGGAGGGCCTGTCAATATATTGTGTCTTCCTCCCTTCGTCACTTGCTTTAGTTATTATCCTCAATTATGTTCGTTTCTTTCTGGCATAATCCCCCAAGTACCAAGCCGGGTATTGATGAATACCAGGGAGGAGAGGGAGCTGGTGGACGACGGAAATATCCAGAAGCAGAAAATGTGTCATCTATATATATATACATACGTATATATATATAATATATATATATATATATATATATATATATATATATATGCATATATATATATATATATATATATATATATATATATATATATATATATATATATGTGTGTGTGTGTGTGTGTGTGTGTGTGTATGTGTATGTGTATATTTATATTATAGGTACACGTGTATACGCACATACCCACACACACGCACGACCCCGCCCCACATACACACACAAATATATGTGTGCGTATATATATATATATATATATATATATATATATATATATATATATATATATATATATATACATATATATGTATATAAATATATATATACATATATATATGTATATAAATATATATATACATATATATGTATATATCTATATATACATATATATGTATGAATATATATATATTATATATATATATATATATATATATATATATATATATATATATATCCTCTCTTGATAATAAAAAGAGAGAGGCCTTATTCCTGCTGTGGAATGAATGTCTGTTGAACAAATGTGTGTGGGTGCATGTGAGTGTGTGTGTGTGTTTACTTGTTTATTTAATTATTTATTTTTAGAACACATTTCTGTGTGTATGTGTATGTGTATGTACATACACAGACAGTCATGTTTTTTTTTTCTATCTGCTTTCTTTTCATCTGTTGACAACTTAAACTGTTCTCTTAATCAATCCCATATTCATTTCTTAAATATTTCCGAAATCGATAAACTCATTGCATATCATGACATATCTTAATTTTCGCTGAATCAATGTTAATATGTTTAAATATGCCCTACTTAGCGCGGGGAACGTCCTTATAACTCGTCACTTACAATACATCTTCGATCAAAACAATTTCGATATCTAAAAGATAGTGTCACTCATGCATTAGGACTGTGAAGAAAGGAAATCTAAATGTTGCTTGCAAAGGTCAAATAACACATTGGCATTTACTCCTGTTGGGAACTGCACTCAAAAGTAAAAATAGCATGTGGCAAAAAGGTCAAACTTTGCAGGTTATCACTTGCGGAATGATAGATGCATATCTGTGTGAAGAGGTCATGATAATCCCAGATACATTTAAAAATCAAAATACAGGGTTTGATAAGTGATAGATGAATATTTCGCTTTCTAACTTCGTGTGGCAGAACCCTCTCGCTAAAAGGGTTATTTTGGTGAATATTGTAGGTCAATAGTCCCCTTTTCCTGCTTCTAACCTACATACTAGATTGACTGTTAACGCGTAAAAAAATATCCGATACAACTTTGGAGTATTTTAAGAAGTTAAATTTATATGTTTAAATCTTTTTGGTTTTAATCCGGTCTTATTGATATGCCTGTATTAATTTACGTATGATTCTAGTCCTTGCACATGTAAGTATCATATTTTGCCCCGTCACGAGAAAGAACTGCATAAGTGTTTTAATATGATAAAGAGCATTGATTTCGATAATGAACATCTCTTAACCATGCTTTAGATTTTAGCCTGAATAACCTTTAGAATATATTAGATTCAATAGCAAGTAAAAGTGGTAATTCTATTACGAGACAATCGCAGATGCCCAACTCTCGTAAAGTTTTTAGATGATCTCTACACTTGAAATCTTTTTACATTTTTTTTTTTAAATGGATGTAGGGCTTTGAAAGGTATTTAAAGACAGTGGGTTTTGAGAGTAATTCATATTCTAAAAGATGGAAAAAGGTGCAGTGCATCAATTTTTCAACGTTTGCCGTTTTCAGTACCATGTCCTCCATTCAAAGAAACAGATTGGCTATTGCATCGTTGCTAAGCGATCATAGGCATTGACAGGACAATGTGTTTTTTTTCTCTCTCTCTCTTTTCACTCGCATACGATATACGCAGAAACATAAAGAAAATTTCAAAGAAATCTGTAGCAGACATCAAAGAGTTAAATCATGCCTGTTAATACCTCAGCACATCATGGCGAACAACTTCTCCCAAGCTCTCATCCGTCTTGACTTTTTTGAAGTGAAATTCTTACGTTCAAGCCTTTGCCAAGCTCTCCTAAAAGCTCCTTCCGAAGGGCAAGTGACACGGTGACATTTACTCATATGAGAACTCTGCCATCAGGAGTAGGCTAAGGTTATCATGTCTGCGAGAAAGTCATATGGCTTTGCGTGCGGAGGGGTGAAGATCACGCCCAGTGTCTGAGAAATGAAATGTGTCGTTCTGCATCTTAAGAATCCCATGTTTAACTGCAGGAGGAAGAGTCATTTTTAAAAATACACGGTTTCTTTTTAATAGCACACTAGCATCATGCTGCTTTTTACCCATGTAATGTTATTTGTTTGTTTTTGTTTTTATCTTTTCAATTAAATTGTCCTACTAATGAAGGGAAAGGCACTTCAGCCAAAACAATTCCGAAAGATTCAGGAATTCAACAGGAACGTTTTATAACTAACACATAACGAAATATAAAAACTTGGTAAGTCAGATACATTTCCCTGCTTCAGGTAGACTAAAAGTAACTTCACACACTGACTTTGTAGGATGGTACCAATTGAATCATCTGAGAAACGCCCCAAAGCAAATATTTGTATTATGGTAACGTGTACTTTGGTTGCGTTGTCATTTATTCAGAAGGCGTTGGATCAGTCTGAATTATTAATACGGTGTATGTTTGTAAACAGCTGAAGGAAATATAAGCAACAGCTGCAGGAGGTATGAGCTTGGGACGCACTCTCGCGCACACATACACATACATACCACATACACATACATGCACACCATATACATACAAACATACACACATACACACACACACACACACACACACAAACAAACAAACAAACAAACAAATAAACACACACACACATACATATATATATATATATATATATATATATATATATGTGTGTGTGTGTGTGTGTGTGTGTGTGTGTGTGTGTGTGTGTGTGCGTGTGTGTTTATATGAGTGAGATGTAAAATATCTCGCACTTTGAAGATCTCCATTCTCATTCATACCTTGTCTTCCTTTTCTACATTTGTTGCAGTGAACACGGTTCATTATCATCCTCGCCGATATTATCATCACTATTTTTTATCCTTTCTTTGTACGATCTCTTTTCACTATATAATGTATTCGTTTTAATCCATGTCTACTAAAATACGGAAGCTCAACCACGAGTACTGTTTAGAAGAAAAAAAACATCCTGTAGTGGAATTCCCATGCCTAAGCATGAGACAACATTTCTCCGCATGGAAGGTCATCGGTCACCTTCTCAAGGGCACGTAAATCACTCCGAAGCAGCAGTCTGGCTTCAAAACACTGCAACGGTGTTATTACTACACAAATTTCTATTCTCGATTTTCAGACGACCATAGTGTAGATCATGTTGGTGAAAATGATATAGAAATAACATCATATGCTTGGTTTCTGTAGTTCCGCTAATGGTTTGGACTTACGACGAGTCTGGACAATGAGTCAGATACGGCTGGCGGAACCTCGGTTTGAGACATCATTATTTTTGGCGATTTTCTTATTTCGTTTAGATCAACGAATGTAACACGGTAAGGTATGCAGTGTTAATTTGCAAATAGTTTCTTATAGCTAATAATTATATCAATTGATGATATTAATTATGCCTGTAAATATATTGCTACAAGAAGTAGACAGGAAGGGGGAGGGGTAAATATGAGTTGTAAAGCGCATCGGAACTCATGTGTGAAAAACTGTTGCATGGTATGTAAAAAGTTGGCTCTCATTGTTCAGAGTTGTTCTTCGTAAATTGTCTAGCGGAACACAGTAACCAGACTGAGTTTTTATATAGGGAAAACAGGATAGAAAGAAAACCTTCCTGTGAAACCTCCAACGCAGGGGTTTTCAACCTTTTCCCGCCAAGTAACCTCTGAGCGGTCGTAGTGTTCGCCTTGCACTCTCTCCATTCAGTGATGATTGGCAAAAAACGCAGTCGTATTCAGTTTAAGCATTCATATTACATATACTAAGGTGTTTTGACTTAACACATAGCATTCTCACGCTTGAGAAGCATTTTTACCGAGCCTAGTACAAGTTGAGTTCCCAAACTAGTATACAAAAATTAACATCATTTTGAAAATAAGTGACAAAATATGTACAAATATGAGTAAATCATTGCAAAAGTACTAGCGCATGATGCTACGTCATAGCCCCATATAGGTACCTAAAAATGTACCTAAACATGTGATGCTGCTCTTTTTGTACGTAGGAATTCAGAAGAAAAGATAACCGATGTAATTTATAGCGCATGTTTTCAGCTGGTGCCCATCATGTCTCCTCCGATGATGCGCAAAACGAAATCAGAACGGCTTCCAGAGCGAGGACGCGACATCGAACATCTTGAAATCGGGCTCGTCTCTGCGGTCCCGAGTCCCGTCGGTCCATTATCCACTCGAGAGAATTTCGATGCCGTTGCCTCTCTTTCGATAGTATTGAAATAGGAAGTCATTTAAATGAGATGACTATGATGAAGATAATTTCGACATCAGAGTTATAAATACGTGTATTATACAATATAGAATTGTAATATTATATCATGTTCTATCATATATATGTTATATATACATATTACTAATTGTACTTGCATTGTCATATTTTACGGCTAAGTAACACCGTACATGTTAGTAAAGTAGGTTGTGGCAATGCATAAATAATAAGTCGATTATAAGGCCTATAGCATCTCACAGGTTTATGCGTACTCGAAGTTGAAAATTGTTCAAATGTTAATTATTATTATTATTATTATTATTATTACTATTATTATTATTATTATCAAGTAATCCTGGATTGTAATTGTGTTTGGTTTCCACAGAAGACATTAAGGAAATAGCTAGGTATATTACAGAACAATTGCACATACATTTACTATATATGCTGTAATTGTTCTTGATTGCAGAAATACGATAATACTTTTTAGCATGGGTAATTTCAATTAGAAATGGCAGCCGTGTTTAGAAATTATATCATCATGAACAAGAGTAAGCAGTGTTACTGTCAACTGAAGCTGCTGAATATCTTATGATAATACATAAGCATATTATTAGCTTTTTTGTGTTTAAAATAAGTCGCATAAAAACGAAACTCCGTAAGGTCATTAAATTTCTACAGATTAAAACCGGTTTATATTATTAAGAACACCCAAAAGGGACTTCATCATGAGTTTCAAATCACTGAAAAAACAAACATCACAATCACACCGTTCATCCACATAGTATAATTACTGATACATATATCGAAAAGGGCATATATCATATATAAAGTGCGACTCAATTGTAGTTCCACAGTCTTTGAACCGCCATAACGCGAACCGGATGTTATGCGGGGGGCGGAGCAGAAGACCTTCGACGGAACAGCTGAGAACACACAACAAACACTGGAGTTGTGGGGTTACGTGTGTGAGCATATCTGCCTGGTAGCTGTTGTTTTATATTAGTTTTTTATTGATTTTACTCTGGGAAAAAAATACATAATTGGGAGGTAAGGATAAGGCACACGAGGAGACACTACTGGAGAAGGTCATGTGTGGTAGAAATGGGTGAATGCCAAAGATTTTCTGATTTACATTTTTTCCGGGTTCGTGAGCCACAGGAAGCGAACTGTGGTGATTGCGATTGTAAGGCTTTGAGTTTGTGTCAGTAGGCTGTCGATTCTTTGCATATTGAAAATCGTAAAAGTGTTAAGATTTTGTAAGAAAAAGTCAGTGTTATCATCAAAGGTTCGTGTTGATTAATTGTTGGAAATATGTTTTTTTTTTATCATTATTTAAGTAAGATAAGCCTGTTCTTGAATGTTGGCAGTTAACTTTTAAAACTGTTGGCTAGGGTATATTCTCTGTGAAATTGTACTGAACTCTTAGCTCTTTTTTGTCTAGTTTAAGGGGGAGACATTTCATGGTAATTATTCAGAATACCTACACATGACCAATCATGAGGATGGATTCCTCTCACCCTTTACTACCCAAATATATAGAAATTATTCTGTGGAACCCCTCTCCCCCGCCCCCTCAGTGCCTATAGTCTTGGCCCCAATAGCATATGAGAGCATGGATGTTACCAGGGAAATTGCAGGATAAAAAAATGAATAATATACAGAGAATTTGTCAGTATATAGTCAAATGCGTAGGGCTGTGCTCCATGCAATTCTCTATGGGGGGGGCTACTGCCCCTCTACCCATACCCAGGACAACAAAGAATCGACCATGTATGTTTGGCAGGATAGAGCATAGGACAGACTTGTCATCATGTGCTCCCGCATCTTAATCATATGGTAGGATAGAGCATAAGACAGCCTCACCATCAGGTGCTCCTGTGTGTCTATCATATGCTCTACTCTGCAGCAAATATATGGAGAATTCTTTACTTTCCATTGTAGGGGTTGAGGGGCAGTAGTGACTGATACTGTGTATATTATTCATGTTTTACTCCATAATTTCCCTGGTACCTTTTATACCCTCCCCTGCTATCAGGGCCAAGATTGTTAATATTGGGGATTTGTGGCATAATTTCAATGTATTTGGAAAGTAGAGAATTAGAGAAGTCTAGAATACATTCATGATCAATTATGCAAAGGTATCCTAAGTAATTACCCATATCTTTTACTAGCATACCAATAGGACTATCATGATTTCAGCAAAATCTTGAAGTTAAAATACAAAAAATTAGATTAGTTTTTACAGTGTAATAGGCTTATGATATCCCATCAGTTTTTAGATCTGTCGAAGAGCTGTAGGAAATATATGTAGCAGACTAAGTTTAGTAAGAGTAGATGATGGTTTATTTGTAATTAATTTGAGTTTTTATAAGACCTAGATGAGGGCATACTGCTGCTGCATTTATTGAAGGTATTGATTTAATGTGGATAGTGTAGATTATATCATTATGCATGGTGATCTTTTTCTTCTACTTGTTATTTTATTATTATTGTTATGGGTATTATTATTATTATTATTATTATTATTGTTATTATTATTATTGATGATAGTGTAAATATTGAAATATATAATACATTTCTCCCAAATTATAATATCTACTGTTGCTATATATCCATTGTAGTCATTTATGTGCAGTCTTTAGCAGTGTTGTATGATTGTTGTAGCATACATTTTGTACTGGAAGTATGTGGATATTGCATTTTATATTATGCCTAAAGAAAATACAGATTGTTATTGATAATTCATCTGATCTGTAAGGTTAGATATGCTATATGT